TAAGAGTCTAGATGACATGAATTTTGAAGAGACAATTCTCTGTCCTGTCCAGTTAAAGCTGTATGAACTCAAAGTGGATCTTGTGATTATATAACTTTAAAAAGGAAATAAAAACTAATTAATAACAATCTGGATTACAAGCCAATATGACTCATTTAAAAAATACTTTTGCTAATGCACAGTATCTAGTTTTACTAATAATATTCTTCAAGCTCAACCAAATGTCCACCTCAAGGCTTTCTTCGAGACTAGCCTTTCACCTTTCCCTTCTGGAACATACTGGAACATCACCCAGGTATTGTTTTCCATTGGCGGTTGCTTTGACTTGCCAAAGCCACTCTTGTTTACATACCAGTTTTCAGGGTCCCTGCTGAAGTTGATTTGCTAGATCCAGCATCGTTACTCGCTAAGACAGATATCAAGTACTCTGTTCCACACTGGAGGGAAGAGATGATGCAGGAACTGAAAGATGTGCTACAGCTCAGCTCTGAGGAGCCACCCAAAGCCATCACAGTATAGTTGAAAGCTCCTTCTGTGGGTGTCCATGAGATAGAGGCTTTCAGAGTCCCACTGTCAAAAGAAACTTGAACATTGGCAGGAGCTCGAGGACCTAGATTGGTGAAAAACAATTGTTAAGCCTGCAGTAACCTCAAGACTCAAATAGAAGCCTCAGTGCCTGAAAGGGAGGATAGCAACCCCAATACTAGAGCAAAAGTAAGTGTGCAGAGCATAAAACTGGGTACCTAGTAACACCTCTACCAGTAATTATATAAACTTATAACTAGATGTGTGGTCTTGGTCATGAATAACATGAAATAATAATCTTACTGTTCAATTTTTTTTTTCATTTGCAAAACTGGTCCAGTAAGAACTGCATCTAGCACATAAAAAACAAAAGAAAAACAAAAAAACTCAACAATTTGGAAAACCATGAGGTCTGTTCCAGCTCATAGCAACTCCACATGTTACAAAGTAGAACTACTCCCTAGCATTTTCTTGGCCTCTGCACTTTTGATGAAAGCAGGTTGCTAGAACTTTCCTCTGCAGTGTTAACTGTTTGGGTTTGAACTCCAAGCTTTAGGTTTGGGGTGGAGCCCAAACTGTTTGCACCATTCATAAATCCAGAACCAGCACATGTTGTTGTTGTTGCTGTTGTTGTTAAGTGCTGCCGCGTCATAGGCGACTCATAGTGACCCTATGAACAGAAGACCTGGACACTTATATAACTTTCATCCCTTCTCCAGGTTCATAGGGTTTCAGGAGACAAGCTATTTTGGAAGTGGATGCCACTCCTGCTTCCAAGCTTGTTTTAATCAGGGAGTTCCACCAAACACTGTCCACTATGGGTAACCATTCTTGCATTTGACACATCTGTGTCCCAGTGTTTAGCTTCACAGCAACCATAAGTTACCTCTGTACAGCAAGAGGACAGATCAGGGCTCTGTGACCTAGAAGAATGTTTGACCAAAAACAATTAAAAACAGGCCTGAGGGCTGCGGATTACAGTCACCCACCTTTGGCTTGGTAGCACCACAATAGGTGCTAAATTAATGGGTTTATAATGGGTGGATTATTTGACAAGTATTTGGAAGAATAAAATAAACTATGAAAGGCTAAGTAGACTATGTGGGTGTGTTATTAGTGATAGTTCAAATATTCTCTCTTTTTGGATTGACTTCAAAAAATGTCCCTTCATTACTTTGACAGCTGCAATAGCTTTCAGATCATAATTGTTTCCAGAGGAGCAGAATTTCCATTCTAAGTTATAATAAAAAAGAAAGAGGGAAAATGTTGAGAGAAAGGTTCATGCATTAAGCCTGTCTTTATGGACTCTCCAAAAAAGCAATTCCCCCACACTCTTAGGACATATGGCTCCCTTTTCTCCAGTATTACCCCCTCGCAAAGCTTGGGGACTTGTTCCCTTGTTCTGTGAGGCGTGAAGGTGACCTCCTCTGGCCGGCTTTAGAAAACTGGAACGTGTATGGGAGCAAACAGAAAACACCGTGTGAGCACTGAGAAGCCCAAGCCTTTCTCCAGTGGACCGTTATGATAGGCCCTTTCCCTTTCCACCTTGGTCAGTGTGCCCTCAGAGTCTAGTCTGGTCTTGGGTAGCTCTGGACCCTACAGCTTTCTAGGGAAATCTGTTTTCCCACAGAGAGGAGGAGAGCACCAAAGAAAATGAAGTCATAGAAGACTAAATGCAAACTCTCTAGAACTTTTAAAAAGACAGAAAAAGGGGAAGACTTTAAACAAGCAGGGCTATTTGGGAAATGGGTCTCCTAGCGTGATGTCTGTGTTTCCACTTGGACCACACTAGATCCATGCATCCATCAGTCAAAGCCCTTCCTATACCAAAGAGCCATTGATTGATTGATTGACACATCGGTGTCCTCTAGGACACAGGCAGTTCTTAAAGGGTCAAGATAACACATTACTTGACTTTGTATTACTACCAGCTAAACAACACTCAGCACATAGTGAGGACTGAATGTTTGTAGAAAGCAATTTTCTTAAGAAAATTCTTTGGGAGTCTGTCTCACTAGGCCCAACTTGAAACAAGCCTGAGGGTCATTTTGTTATGATTTCTCCCCAAAGAAGTAAACTCTTCTTTTCTTCCTATGTTTCTGCCTTAGCTCACAGAAAGCAGGCTCCGCTTCAAAATTCCTTCAAACCTAGGGATTTTTTAAAGGAACATTTCTGGGTTTTGTCTATAATGGCCTTGGACCTCCCCCAGGAATGAAACACCTAGTCTAGTGGAAGGGAGTCTGGCATCTGTAGGCCGCCTTGCCAGTGGTTCGTTCTTCCTCAAGGGAAGAAAATCTGTCTCTCTCTTCTTCCTTTCCTACTCTTCATCCTTACAGTGTTCCATGTTGTTAGCCTAGTTTGGTCTCCAGCCACCATGCAGTAGGATCTCTGGTCAGAATATCCTTGCAAGTTGATGGTGAAAGAACGCTGTCAGCCTAAGCCTGAAGGGGAAGTGTTGGGAGGTCTATGTCAGCCTCAGACCTAAGTTGAGCCCTTTGGGAGATAAACCTGATACACTGATCCCCAGACAGTATAAAACACCTTATGGCAAGAACTTTGCTCTGTTTGCAACTGTATCTCTAGAAGACTATCTGCGCAAAGCAAAACATCTGCCAAATATGTGAATCCCCACTTGGTGCAATTCTGTTTACCCCACAGGCCTGAACCCAGGAAGGGACAAGGGTTGGCCTGATAATCCTAATTAGAATCCTTTCGCATTGTGGGATAGCACCTACGAATTTGAAACTGAGTTAGAGATCAGAGACGGAGGCAAGGGTGGTGCGCTGTGTTGTCTGAGCAGCATTTCTTTTCTTTCCGCGTTCAGGAAGCCTTTAAATCACTGAGGGAAAATAGTCAAGGCGCTATAAATAACTCCATAATAAATTTAGAGCGCAGCTGCCAGCTGCGCTGAAGTTATTGCTTACACTGCTCTTCAGGGCGACCATGCACGGGCCCCCTCATTAATCAAAGGTGGGAAGGTCTGGGGCCGAGCAGCAAGTCCTTACTTGTTCTCTGATTGCAGATGGAATCGTCCCCGGGGATCCCGTTGGCATTCCAGGCATAGGCCTTTATGGTGTACAGCGTTCCGGCATTTAAACTGCTGAATGTCAAAGAAGTGTTGGTGGTGTTCTCCTTCCATATTCTGCCCAAGCCATTGGCTTGCATGATGGACACTGAGAATCCAATTGCCATGTAGACAGTTTCCCATCGCACAAGGATAGAGTCTGGACTTGGAGAACTTACTTCTAGGATTGGTGCAGCCAATACTAAAAAGGCAAAAACCATGAGCATTTGCATGAAGGAAAATTCAAATTTAGAAAGAAATAGATTGAGGCTGATCACCTGTATTATAAAAGAAGCATTGGCTTTACAAAAGATCCATGGCAGAGTTCAATCAAACACTATTTAATGCACTGCCACTGAGCCGATTCTACCTCAGTGACTCTCTAGGACACAGTAGAACTACCCCGTAGGGTTTACAAGGCTGTCAACCTTTATGGAAGAAGACTGCCTCATCTTTCCTCCAAGGAGTGGCTGGTGGGTTAGCTGACCTTTTGGTTAACAGCCAAATGCTTTAGATGCAATTCCATCAGGGCTTCTTATTTGCTAATTGTTGTTGTTAGGTGCCATTGGGTCAAGCATGAGTCACAGCAACCAATGAACAAAAGATCTGAACCCTGTACTATCCTGTGCCATCCTCACACTTCCTGACACACAAGACCACATTGTAGCAGTCACATGTCAATCCACTTGGTTGAGTCTCTTCCTCTCCTTTGCTGATTCTCCACCCTCCCCAGCATCATGTCCTTCTCCAAAAAATAGCCCCTCTAAGCAACATGCCCAAAGTATGTGAGGCAAAGCCTCATCATTCTTGCCTCTAAAGAGCACTCTGGCTGCACCCTCTCCAAAGCATATCTATGTGTTTTTATCATAAATGACTGAATAAAGGAATGAGGAAAAGGAAACTCTAAATTCTAGATATTGCTTTCAACTGAGGATAAGTCAGAAATTAGGGTAAAGTGTGCTTGTATTCACAATACAAAATAACAGAGAAATTATGTAAATCCTATTTTAATATGGATATAACTTTTTAGAAATATGCCTGGTACAACTTTAGCAAATTAATCTAAACAATCACGATGAGAAACTTAAAATGTTATCTGAAGTTTATATGTTACTACATATGCCAGGCAGTTGGCATCTTGCAAAATTTCTTTTTGTACTGCATTTGGTCGGCTCTTTATGGCTGAGGTTAGAAACAAATGTGACTCTATCAGGGATTTAAAAGCAGGATCCTCCTAAAGACACTCAACATTGGCTTTTCTTTTTCAAAACAAAGCATCTGGTATTTAAATACCACCTCCTCCACAGATATTTGAGCTGCTAAAAAATATTATTTGGTGGCTTTTGCTTCTGGGACCTGAGTCATAGGCACTCAGATGGTGCCAAATCACATTTCAGATTTGCAGCCTCAGTCTAACTGATCCCTGTTGCATGCAAATAGTAGGCAGAGGATGAGCACACAGCTACCTGTCTTCGCCTGCTTTGGAGAGGACGCTTGACTTCTCCCAGCTGCACCTACGGATCTGATGGTGATTTGATACAAGGTCGCAGCCTTCAAGCCTGTCACTGTGCCTGGGGAGCTGGCCACCATGGTCTCAATGACTGTGTCCCCATCTTCGGCTGTGAGGAGGTAACTGGTGGCCCCTGGCACTGTCTCCCACTCCACAGTGATGCTGTTGCTGATTTTTGAATAGGCCTGGTCAATAGTGGGTATTTCAGGAGCTGAAAGAAATTTAGAGGTTGTTGTCAGGATGCATACAAAGATGACTTCTCTTATTATTTTACATTTTAAATAAAATCATTCTTCCATCATCCTCTGATATAGGCATTGCCATTGTTTCCTAAATAATGGGAAAACTGGGGTGGAGGGGCAGGCAGGGGGAGGGGCCGGGAGGGGGCGGCGGGGATGAAAACTATTTCCAAATAGCTTTAAAAGTCCTTAACTTTCCATTCACCGAAGCTGTTTCAAAGAGGTTTGCAGGTCTATTCCAAGCAGTGGAATAGCTGAGTCGTATGGAATTTCTATGTTCAGCTTTATGAGGAAGCGCCAAACTGCCTTCTAGAGTGGTTGTACCATTTTACAATCCCTCCAACAAAGTATAAGAGTTTCTATCTTGCCACATCCTTTCCAACATTTATTACTTGCTATCCTGTTAAACTTTGCCACTGTTACTGGAGTGAGATGTTATCTCATGTGGTTTTGATTTATATCCCTCTTGTACCCTGAGAAAATGAGAACTGAGGAACAAATGGAGACTTGTACACCAATGGTCATAGCAGCATTATTCACCATTGCAAGAGCATGGAAACAGCCTAGGTGTCCAACCACAATCGAATGGATTGAGAGATCGTAGTACATTCATATGATGGAATACTACACAGCACGCAGGAGCAATGATTTTATAAATTACCTAACTTGGGAGGGACCGGAGAGCATTATGCTGAGTGAACTAATTCAGTTCCACAAGGACAAATACTGTATAAGACCATTACTGTAGAATGAGCATGATGATACAAGGGAGGGGGGCTGTGGAAGCAGAGGGATAAGGGAGGATTTGCAGGAAGAGGCAGGATTAATCCCGGGGTTGTATAATTTTTATGGGTGCAGGGGTGAGGGAAATTTGAAATCTGGTCTAAAAAACCCAACATATTCCAATTTTGTAAATAAGCTGTTGTTGTTGTTGTTTAATGCCGTTGAGTCGTAGACGACTCATAGCGACCCTATGAACGAACAGCCTGAGCACTGTTCGTACATAGAGTTTCTGGAGTCAAGCCATTTTGGAAGTGGATGCCGCTCCTGCTTCCAGGCTTGATTTAGTCGGGAAGCTCCAGCCAACACTACCCACCATGGGTGCCATTACCACGATTGGCACATTACTGTCACAGGCTTCAGCATCACAGCAGCCACGAGTTACCTCTGTACAGCAACGCACAGACCAGTGCTATACCACAAACTGCCTCTTTTTTTTAAAAAAAAAAAAGGTGTCACAGTTGTTTAAGGGTAGTTTGCATGCTGTGTACTTGTTTAAGGGAGCTCAGATGCCCTAGTCCACAGGTGGTTGTGCTGCAAACTCAGAGACCCCACCTCTCTGTCAGTTCAAGGCCATCAGACATTCTGAGGGAGCAAAATGTACAATCAGCTCCAGGGCAATTTACAGACCCTGAAAACCCCAGAGAAAGTTGTTCTGACTACACAGCAATGAGTTGGTTGGCTGTTTTCAAGTACTCTTAAAAGTTAAATAAGATTGGAAGATAGGAAGTCTTGCAGCCTAGTTGGGACAGTGGCAGTGACAACCCAAAGGTACGCGATTAGGACCCACCAGCTGCATTACAGAGGAAAGACAAGCAATCTCCTCTTGCGCAATTTACAGCCTCTGAAAACCCACTGGAGGGCCAGCTATGAGTCAGTTCCTAACTGATAGCAATGAGTGGTTGTGTTTGTGAGAACGGACTCTGAGAGGAAGGAGAGAATATTGGAGGAACTTCATTCTAGAGCTTTCTTCTCAAGCTTGGTGTTCTGAGTTACCTGGTCTACTTTACACCTCTGTTCTCCCAACTAATGACTGGGCCACCTGCCTCCAGTGATTCTCCGTCTCCATCCTCTTACTCACCCCACAGCTATGGACACCACTGGTCACATTTTGTATGTTTCCCAATTGGCATGTAACCAAGGATGCAGGGGCATTGTTGCAGTGACTCCAAAGTACTTCCATGTTTTCAAAGTGGAATAATTTTAACATTCTTCTACATCAAATAAAAATTAACTTTTCCTTCTTTATCAAAACACTTATCTCATAAAGAAAAATAAAATCCTTTCCATGCTTCAACGTGCATGAACCTTGAAAACATGCAGAGTAAAGGAGGTCAATCATAAAAGGACAAATATTGGAAAATCTCACACAAAGTATCTAGAACATGGGTTATGGATTGAATTGCATGCTGCCCCGCCCCAATGTTGTTGCTGTTGTTATGTGCCATCGAGTCGTTTCCGACTCATAGCGACCCTATGCACAACAGCTCTAAACCCTGCTCTATCCTCCGCCAACTGCACCGCCTCTGACACACCCATCCCGATTACCCCAGTCACCGAATCAATCCATCTCATAGAGGGTCTTCCCCTCCTGCGCTGTCCCTCCACCCTCCCAAGCATGATGTCCCTCTCCAAGGACCCGTCCCTCCTGGCAACATGTCCAAAGTATGTCAGACGAAGCCCCAGAATCCTTGCCTCCAAGGAGCAGCCTGGTTTAATCCTCTCCAAGATGGATCTGTTTGTTTTCCTGGCAGTCCATGGTACATTCAGTACCCTTCTCCAGCACCACAGCTCAAAAGCATCCACTCTCCTTCTGTCCTCCCTAGTCATTGTCCAATTCTCTGATGCATAACAAGCGATTGCAAATACCATGACCTGTATCAGACGCACCTTAGTCTCCAGAGAGACACTGTTGCTCCTGAGTACCTTTGAGAGGTCCCTAACGGCAGACTTTCCCATCGCGATACACTTTTTAATTTCCTGACTGCTGGTACCAAGAGTGTTGACTGTGGAGCCGAGCAAACTGAAGCTGTGAACACTCTCAATCTCTTCGTCATCCATCCTGACGCTTCCAATTGGTCCAGTGGCGAGAATCTTTGTCTTCTTGACGTTGAGCCTTAGTCCATACTGAAGGCTGCAGTCCTTGACCCTTCACAGCAAGTGCATGAGGTCCTCCTCAGTTTCAGCAAGCAAGGTTGTGTCATCTGCATAATGCAGATTGTTAATAGATCTTCCACCAATCCCGATGCCACAATTCTCCTCATAGAGCCCAGCCTCTCGGATAATCTGCTCTGCATACATGTTGAAAAGGTATGGAGACAGGATGCATCCCTGGCATACACCCTTCCCTATTTTGAACCATGCAGTGTTACCCTGCTCTGTTCTGACTACTGCCTCTTGGTCCAAGTATAGGTTTCGTACTAGTACAATTAAATGTTCTGGGATTCCCATTCTTCTCAGAGTCAGCCACAGTTTGTTATGATCCACACAGTCAAATACCTTTGCATAATCAATGAAACACAGATAGACATTCTTCTGGTATTCCCTGCTTTCAGCCAAGATCCATCTAACATCAGCAACGATATCCCTAGTACCACGACCCCTTCTAAACCCAGCCTGGACTTCCGGCAGTTCTCTGCTGATGTGCTGTTCTAATCGTTTTTGGATGATCTTCAGCAGAATCTTGCTTGCATGTGAAATCAATGACACTGTTCTGTAGTTTCCACACTCAGTTGGGTCACCTTTCTTTGGAATGGGAACAAATATAGATCTCTTCCAGTCAGTTGGCCAAGTGGTTGTTCTCCAGATTTCTAAATCTTACCCCTGTACCTTAGTTATAATCCCTTTTAGAAATGGGTTTTCTTTGTTAAGAGGCTATATTTGGATGTGTTTTAAGCCATTACATTTGAGACAGAAAAAAGAGGAGACTAGACAGAGCAAAGAAGCAGAGATGGGGAGAAAGATGCTTAGTCATATGACAGTCACTGAGGAACCAAGAAGGAGAATCTCACTACCAACCAGAAAGAAAAAGAAACAGAAAATGCAGCTGCCCATCCTTTGAGGCCATAGAGACTCCTGTCAGAGACGGAGCAGCAGCAGTGGAGAACCAAGTGGAGAGACCAAGACTGAGGCGGGAGGGGGCGCTGACCTAGGATTACCCACCCCACAGAGCCAGAGCCAGAGGGCAAACTTCAACCAAGTTTGCTGGAGGACTTGGAGGGTCAGTGTGGGAGGACTCTGTAATTGGCAAGACTAAGAAAGCTTTGAAATGCTGATCCAAAGTCCTAAGGCTGAAGGTCAAGGGCCTGCCAACATACTTGAGCAGTTATCCAGGCTGGAAAATTGCATCTTGTTTCCAACCTGAACGGTAACCTGTTAATCTTCCTAATAAACCCCATAATTATGAGGGTAGAGAAAGGAACCAAGGAATAAGCAAGAATATTCCTTCAGAGCCAAAAGAGAGAGAACATCTTCCCCTAAAGACGGCATCCTGATTTCAGGCTTTCAGCTTCCTAAACAGAGAAAACAAATTTCTGTTTATTAAACCCATCCATTTGGGATATTTCTGTTATAGCAGCGTTACACAACTCAGACAACAGGAAAACATACTGAACAAAGGTTACTCGTTGTGACTAGTGGTGGGACAAAAGAAAGACAAAGCATTGTTTAGGAACTAATAAGATTCTGTTCACGGTGATGGAAATGCTGGAATAGATACTATGATAGTCATACCACAAGGCTAACTGCGATCACTAAATTGTACAAGTGAAAAGCATTGAATTGGCAAATATTGTGAGATATAAATAATTCTTCTATCATCCTTAGTCATTGTCTAGCTCTCTGATATATATATGTAGATATATATATGACACGTATATGTGTTGTGTGTGTGTGTGTATGTATATGTTGTTGTTACTGTTGTGTACTGTCGAGTCAGAACAGACCCATAGGTGACCCTCTGGTGTAACATATGTATATGTGTATACATGTATATATATATATACACACATACATATATACGTATATGTATATTTGTTTTTGTTGTTTGTTGTTGTCTACCGTAGAGACAGAACCGACCCATACCTGACCCTCTGGTGTAACATAAGTGTGCACAATATATCCATATGTGTGTTGTGTTGTTGTTAAGTGCCATCGAGTCATAGACAACTCATAGCAACCCAATGAGCGAAAG